AGGTATGTAGAAAATGTGCTACGAAGATCAACAACCGAGGCGAGCATTTCTAAAACTTTCTAGCTATCTAGAACACGGGGGTTTACTTTGGTCATATGATTGAAGGGGTGCGATTTCCATGGTAGATATTCATTAACTATGCAGTTCTTCACGAAAGGAGGCGAGAAAAGTACTTCCATGGTGTCGCTCTATTGTTCGCCTTTTCCTCACTTCGCCCATCCATCTTAGTATGTCGGTGAAGTCATTAGCTCGTGACAAGTAGGGGTATTTCCTGATACCTCTATGTGGTCGTCCGTTATCTGGATATTGCCTGGAGCATTGTCAGAGTTTAAGAAGGCATCTTTAGGTAAATAAGACTTTAGAACAAACTGACTTTTTTGTTAAAGATGATAGCAATGCTATAACATTAACACTTTACCATATATTTCCCAAAGTCTGAAAAAAACTGCTCAGTTCATATACATATACTTCAATCACTCTTGTATTTGAAAAAAGGGCATTTTACTTTCTCTAAGTTATGAAAAGAAGCTTTTCCCTCCCTTATTATGAGGTAATGCGAATATTTTTTTCTCCTAAACGAATGCTTTTTACTTGTCATTTAGAAAATATTGCTTCGGTTCCGGCTTTTTCCCCTTTAGGACTGTGATTTTCAACCCTTTCTCTATAACTTACCTCCTCGACTGTATGCTGCTCGTCATATGCCCCTTTCCTACCATGTAAAACAAGAATATCTAATGTAGACACATAACAAGAAAGCACCTTTATTTTTTGTATTTTGCAAAGAACGTTTTGACTAAGAAATATAATATACAGTTGTTGATAACTCGGTTTAAGAAAAGATAAAAAAAAACGCATCAATCATTATCAGTTGGGAAATCGCATGCTGTCTGCTAAGATCCATCCATCGAGGGTGTCACGTATATATATTTTTACTCCCAGGGGTAAACATACCCTTGGTCAAAAAATCCCTGCTTTAGGCGAATTTGACTTAGTCATTGTCCAATACACGTACAATTATAAAAGCTTTATAACATGGTGAGTTATATTAATTTACCTCTTTTTTTCATATCTTATAAAAGTTCTTGTTTTTGATAAAGACCTAGTTGCTAAAAGGGAAAAATAATGAAGTGAAAGCCTTCTTGTTATACAGGTGTTTTGATTTTTAAAGATAAAAATAGTTTATAGGGGTCTTAAATGTTTTTGCTACTACAACGACTAGGGAACATAGTGCAAAATCATAGGCAAAGGATGTTAAGATATATATATATTTTTTTCCATTTGGTATGATTTTGTATTAAGATATTCAGAAAATATTAAAGAGATCGAGTATCAATTTTTATTCAGTGCCAGCGTAAAAAATATTTCTCTCTTTGTATAGGGAGATTTGAGAAAATGTATGCATGTGTTACTTAAAAAGCGTTAGCTAATTGTACGTTTCCCGATAAAGTAAATCGCCATAGTCCGACGGTGAGGTGATCGTCTCTTAAAGATAACAACTTATCTAGTTCCATCTCTTGCTGCATATTTGTAGAATGACAATGACGGGGAAATCGAGAAGAAGTAAAGTTTGGTTGAATTATACACGTTGACAAGGTTATTTATGTCCTTTTATAATATTTTTCCCGTTCTTGTGGGAGACAAAAAGCATATTTGCTAGATAAATGAAACTACAATAACCAAAAATCACCGTAGTCCGGCTTAAAGAAACTTATCTAGCCCCAGTCTCTTATAGCATGTTTGTACTGGTGAGAAAGATCATGACGGGGAAATCGAGAAGTAAAGTTTGGTTGGATTATTTCCCTTCGGCAAGGTTATTTTTCCCGCTCTTGTAGGAGACAAAACAGCATATTTGCTAGATGAATGAAACTACAGTAACCAACATTAGTGGTTACTGTTGCATAGTTCCTTTTCTTCGTATATACTTGTAGGGAGGTACTATAGACAATTTTTTGGAAGGGGAGTAAATTACTGAAAAGCTAGTCCACCTTCTGTTCTGATTCATCTTTTTCTTATTTCTTTTTCTTTCAGGTGAGCAGACCTGTGTGACCTATTTATCATTGATTTTTACAGTTTCATTCATTAGGAGAGGCGATCCCTCGTCTGTAACAGAATCAATTATCGATCTCGGTACGCGTTCAAACATGGTGAATATTGCGGTGTGGGTGGGAGGAGCGACGGGGTGAGTCATCTGTGGCACCTGCCCGTGTGTTAGACATCACTGGCTATGGGTAATGATTTCGGTTACGGTTATTGATTGGATAATCACTTTCAGTGGTCATATCACGGTCGTTGGATACGCCAAGGTCACGGGCATTGGCCGAGGTTTGTGGTTACGCCGTGATCATTGGCCTATGTCACCTGCCACCTGCATTGGAGGGGTTCCTTGCCTATAGCACACCATTAGTTTTCAGTTCCGGTCATCTCTTTCACTATTTCTCTTATGATGCGTCATGTACGAGCATAAGGTGCACATGTGAAAGCAGATTAATGATTTCCGGGT